GAGGGGTGGGCTGGGCCGGAGGCTCCCGGGAGCTGAAAACCACAAACGCAAACAAACAGTTCAGACTGTGCGGGGAAAGTTGATTGCATAGTCCCTGAAAGGTCAACATAGAAGTGGCCTGTAAAAGCACCCCGAAGCCCAGGTTCTCAGTCTCCCCAGAGAGGGAGATGTGGGACTTGGAGACCCCAACTCTCAGGCCGGTGGGGCCAAAGGCCAGGGCAATTACAAGTGCAGCTTTGGAACCCTCTCTATCCACGCCTCCCTCCAAATCACAGTGAGCTTGCTTCAGGAGGTGGATTCTGCCTGGAGAAGTTCCCACCCCACTTCACCTCTTTTCCTGCCTTGAGCCTTCAGACGCGCCTGGCAGCTCAGGGAGGAAGGCTTTCTTTCTTTCTGTCATGTTTTTCTGATTTTTAGTGTGTGGGGTCTGCTCCCTTAGGAGGTTAGAGCTCCAAAATGCTTTGTCTATTGGGGTCGCTACTGGAAATTTAGGCATCACATATCCAGGCAAACTTTTCTGTCATATGGAAAGCCTTTCCTTTTTGCTTTCAAAGGAGATCAAAGCAAGAGGTTTCAGGGTATCAGCGTGAATCATGCCTAGAGGCTCCCATCTCAAAGGGGATCCTAGCTGAAAATTGGCAGGAGGGGAGTCATCTAGCTCCAGTTAGGTCTGTGTGCCTGCTCAGGAGTCACAAAGAAGTTGGGGAGTTGTTGCTGTGGCTGTTGTTGCTGTTTGGAATCTGTCCCTTGTGTGTATTGCAAATCAGATTTCATGTCAAAGGGGAGAGAGAAAGGGTGCCTTTTTAAAATGCTGCTGAGATTTAAAAAAAACAAAAAAACTAAACAAAACACTATAGGATTTGACAATGGTGATTTGATGGCTTCAATTTTAAAACCCTTTTTTAATGAGCCAAAGAATAGGGCTGTTTTTTCTTTCTAGAAAAGAGAAGCAGCATCTTTTCAGTTTCTCATGATAAAACATCATGATTCCAGATGCCAGCTACCCCAGTCTAATCCATGGAAGTGTTACATTAGAAGACACATGGTTTAAAAACCCATCATGGCATTTTCCCTTTGAGAAGGATGTCTAAAGGATTGGGTCCACTTTGTGCAGCCTTGTGGAACTAAATGTTTATTTTTCTCATTATGATGTTTCTAGCAGACCTAGGTGACTAAAGTTTTAAGAAATGGAAGGTGTTCTCTATAGTTGCTTAGGCAGCACTGGTGTTCAGGTGAGGCCCACAGGAGACATGGGAAACCTTGGACTTAGGAATCTTGCAAGTTGATTTTTCTAATATTTGTGAGAGATGAGAGAATCAACTGCGGTGTCAAAATATGACAGTAAGACAATAGCACAAGCAAGAATCCAAACCCCCGGGTGACTGAACAGAGAACACAGAGTCCAAGTGAGAACAAGAATGTGAAATGTATATTTACTTTGTAAGGGCTTTTCATTTGTTTAACGATCAAAATGGTAAGCTTAGTGTGATGGGCAGATGTCACCAAAAAATGGGCATTGGTGATTAGTATTCTATTATTTAACAACTTCTAAAAGACCCATAAGTATACTTAATTTAGCATCTATCATACATATTCAAGATTCAGACAACACAGCTGTAGTCGTGAACATACATTTATTCATATTTTAAAAAATATGAACTATCTAGTATAAACTCAGAAACCCAGAAGGATAATAAAATTAAGATCTAACTTGCTCTAAGAGTAATTTTTGGAAATGAGCATTATAAATTTGACCCAATAAATAATTTCTGAAGCCCTCCATGCACTTGTATCAAATAAGTATGTCCCAGGGTTCAGTGTTAAAAGAGTTGACTTTCAAAATGCAAAATCCATTTCGCACCTTAGTCTGGATTCAGCACACCAGCTGGGGCCTGCTGGCTCTGTCCTGGTGGATGGCTGAGATACCAGGCTGCCTGGCTCCATGACGACACCTTCCAGGTTCACTGGGCCATATCATTTGAAGGATATGTAGTGGTGTCTGACCACTAAATGCTTACAAGTGTCATGGATGCTGCAAAAATCTGATACTTCTACATAGGAAGAAACTGTATATTCCTTTAAAAGTGGAAAATACAGAAAATAATTCATGTGAATCTATTGTTGATCTCAAAATAATGTAATATAGATTTTGTTACATTGATAACTATAGCATTTTAATTTTAGGAGTTAATGATATTATTCTAATTTTAATCTTTCTTCAGAAAGAATGCAAGAATAATCATCAAGTTCCTAACTTTAATGTAGAAAAATGATGTAAGTTGCAATCAGAAGCATTATATCAGCCCATTTATTATAGCATAAGCATAATATAAAAATGTTCTTTCAGCTTTACATGTGGTTTAACAGAGAGATAAATGTGTTAAACCATTGTTTTTGCAATTGCATCACTTTCATTGAAGACAATTGAATGGAAGGGCATTCATTGTATTTATTACTTTTTATCCACCTGTGGTTCTTAAAGTCTAAATATAAAAGAGTTCCTCAAATGAAGAGAAGGAGTTGGAAAATTGAAATTGACCAGTCAGTTGAAATAAGAATAAAATATACACAAATAAAATAACTTCAAAGAGAATTTACTTAAGAATGTTGTCTATAGAAAATAGGTCTGTTAATATAATAACAAAATTTAAACATGTTTGTAAATATTAAGTAATTCTGAATTTTTATTAAGTCTAGAAAGATAAAGCAACTCAAGCATAAAGACTTTATAAATAACCAAATTAATTTTTAATTTTTGCTCTAGTTGCTTTTTTGTCATTTATGCTCAGATTCATATTTTATTTTAGTAAACTAAGCATTAAGGATAATAAATTTAAAAGTAAGAGATATTTTCATATATTCAAATATATACATAACTAGTTTAAGACAAGACTTGAGTAGACAAAAATTAAAACATTTTGAAATCCTGTTTCTTTGTTATTTTTGTTTTGCTTTATTATATGAGATATAAAACTTAAGAAATAAGTTCTTGAAAAAGTTTTGGAAAAGTCATTATTAAAGACTTCTACAGCATGAAAATTTAATTTAATAAAGGGACATGACATGCAATGTTTAGAACATTAAGAAGTAAACATCAGGAGACTTACAATCTAAATTTGTCTTCTTAAGTAGCCCAAAGTTTCTTTTTGATTAGTATTTTTTAAATTTTAATGCATAATTTAGTAATTGTCCCAAATAAATCAAATTGGACTGGATTAATTAACTTCTCTTTTACACTTTCATTGCACCTCACACAATGTAACAGTTAAATAAATGCTTATTGAAAGTTGAAGGAATTAAGATTATAAAATTAAAAAGCCTCAGCATTGCACTTCACGAATGCCTTTCTCAATCTACATTACTATTGTACATCACAAAAGTCCATTGAACCCCTTCCATGAAAACACCTGTAGTAGAAATG